GGGGGGGGTGTCCCCCCCATATGGCCCAGGGAGGGGGGCTCTGTAGAGCCCTGAGTGTGGCTCTTCCCCTATATGGCCCTGTGTGGGTGGCCCTATGAGTGAGGCAGCCCCCCCAGTATGTCCTTAGGGGTCCCTGCCTTATGGCCCTATACAGCCGTGCCCTATAGAGCGCTAGGGGGGCGTCTCCTCAATACGTCCCTGTGAGAGGGGAAGCTCTAGAGCCCTCGGGGTGGAGGTTCCCCTCCCCATACGGCCCTATAGAGCCCCAGGGGTGGGCCTCCCCCCTATAAAGGCTGAGAATAGGGGTCCCCCCCTATAGGGCCCTACGAGGGGGAGAGCGTATATACCCTTGGGGAGGTATATAGCCCCCCACTGCCCACCCTGCCATAGCCAGGGGGGCACAGGGGGTCCCCTATATAGCTCTATAAGGGAGGCCCAGCCTGCCTGGGTGGGATTTGTGGACTCGGAGTCACTCGTTTACCTTTTTTTTGGCGTCTCCCCATGGGTTTTTTTGGCATTCCCAGGTTTTGTTGGCATCACCTGGGATGGTTTTTTTTTCCCTGACGTTTCCAGGTGTTTCTTCACCAGCCGCTAACTGCGTATCCTCCTGGCAGGGTTTTTTTTTGTTGGCATCACCCACGGTTTGGTGTTTTTTTTGGCATTCCCAGGTTTTGTTGGCATCACCTGGGATGGTTTTTTTTTCCCTGACGTTTCCAGGTTTTGTTGGCATCACCCGCGGTTTGTTTTTTGTTCTGACATTTCCAGGTTTTTTTGGCATCGCCCGGGGTTTTTTGGTGTCTCCCTTTAGCTTGCAGCCTTTTCCCACCTGCAGATGTGTTAGCGAAGCTGCTGAGAAAGCGGTGGCCGGCCGAGGGCAGGGGCGGACGCGCTGCCGCGTTTTTCGGATCCCGTTTTCGGATCGTTTCGGAGAGAAGCCCAAACCGTGAGTCGCCAAAAACCTTTTTCAGACTCTTTTTGCCCCGAATCCCCAAGCCGACGCTTCGCAACAACGTGATTTTTGCCGGCGCCCCTGCGGATCTGCAGCTCGCGGTGAGGTTGAGCGGGTGAAGCAACGTCTTGCCGTACCCGCCTGCGTCACGCAAATG